TGCAAAGATTCATTAACACATCTTACACGGGCATACCTTGTCTGCGTGTACGTATAGGCATGCATACACAGGGTCAAGATGTGACCCTGTGAAGACTCCCCAGGCCTGCTGTTACCAGGAGTCCAGCGGTCCACCTAAATAAAGGGCTCTTATACTAAAACAGATACAGAGTAGGTGTCCTTCTATACCATAAATCAGTAAGAGAAGGTACGACCTCTCTCATGACCTTAGGATGTGTGTGTATGCCAGAACCCTCTGGAAGGCACACGGAGTCTTTGCAGACAGCTAAGGATCAGACATCCAATCAATATGCAATCAATTATATAACTCTAAGCATATATGAGTATATATTTCTAAGCATAAATGACAATCCGACAATATAAACCTAACACTGGACTCCTCTGAGAAGTCCAAAATTAATTAAGTGTAACATTCATCCATCTATCCATTCTGCTGCTTATCCAGGTTCAGGTCACGGGGGCAGCGGTCTAAGCAGAGAAGTTCAGAATTCCCTCACCCTCTCTTCCAGCTCAGACTCACCTAACAGGTCTCCTACCAGCAGGACATGCCCGAAACAACGTGCCAAGGATGCATTTAGGAACCATCCTGCTTAAACCACCTCAACTGGCGCTATTCGATGTGGAGGAGCAGCACCTCTACTATAAGTCCTTCTCAAATGATCTGTAAGGGAGAGCCCAGCCACCCTTTGAATCAAACTAATTTCCACCACTTGCACCTGCGACCTCATTCAAAAACATTCAATAACTAAAACGAATTATACTATTCAGGAATGCAAGTGAATAACTGTAATTTGACATTTAATCAAAAATAACAGTGTGCTATATTATTTTTTTCAGCTTTAAAAAAAGAAACCCAGTGAATTTAAAATTTCATGGATAACAACAGTAATTACATTTTAACATTAAAAAGATCATTTTGACTAAAGAGCTTGCGCATACTGGTAATTACAAGTATTGGTAGTTCTTCTTCTAATTTAGAGCAGTGGTTGAATGAACCGTACATCGGGTGGTTTTCTAATACATTTGTTAAGCATAAAGTATAAAGAAAAAATACACAAAGAAAATTTGATGCCCAAAATGCTGACTTTAACTACATCAGCCTTATTTAATTACTTGTAAAATTTTAATTCAATTTATACTTTATATTGAATAAATAAACCTCAAAGCAATCTATGACTTTAAATTAATTTATAGTGTTGACAACCACTGACAGAGTGCTCAACCAGCCAACATATCAATTTAACAATTTAACACCACAGTTTGTAACGTGCAGCGCCGAGTGCTACAGTTTCTCTCCTCCTGTCACCTACCTGTTCACAGCTGAGTCAGTGCGGATGGTTGCTATAGGCGACCTCATGTTCTTCAGATCCCACACCTTGACAGTACGGTCATCACTTCCTGAAACCACATTGTCACCCACTGTGAACACCGCAGACGTCACCGTGCTGCAAGACAAACACACACAACAGCGTTACACACGAAAACATGCAAGCAGCAAACAGAGGTGTTAATGAGCTACTGTATGGTTTTCTATTTCAGAGATCATAGTTACAAATCTCTACCAGTCACAGAAAGAAGAAAGTTTTCTGAGTGACAAGTTATTAGTCATCCCCTCCCACAGGGCAGCGCTATTATTGTTAACGCATAAAAGATGACACGATCCGCACAGGTGCATCACGGTGATGTGCAAAGACACTTGGAGCCACAGAGGGTGTGTCAGGTACAACACTGTAAAGCTGACACTGTGTGCTTCTTCATTTATGATGCGACTCTGCATTGTTAAAACCTTACAAAGTGTCATTTTGCCACTTGAAGTTGGCAGGATCTCACTCGTGCACAGAGGATGTCACAGAGATGCGGCAGTCGGGACAAAGTGAAGAGCTAAAAAATGACTTGAAAACATTCACACCACCAAACGTGTTTGAGCCATCAGGATGCTGTGAACAATGATTTCCTCTCGATGCATTGGCATTTAGTCACATTTTCATTCTTTCAGTTTACAATTAAATATGATGAAACACATGCTCCGAAGTTTGGGAACATTATACATATAACATAATACATACAAGTGTAATACACGGTTGCTCCTGATGCATTCATCAAAGCGTGAACATTAGACAGGAGCACTTAGAAATGTAGAGCAAAGTGCTTGTATGAATGTATAAAGCTCTTTGAGTACTCAAGTAGAGTACACGAGCACTATATAAGAACCAGTCTGTTTACCGCGTCCTCTCAGAGCCTTTTGAGGTAACCTCAAGTACCCATTACTTGCAGCCCTTTCAATGTATGCTTGGGCACCCCTAAACTATACACAAGTGTTTCATTGTTATGTTTTTTTATCCAATACAACGGAGCCACACCAATACAGTATATATATAGATCCGCGATAACTCGCTAACATTTGATACCAGTGTTAACTTTATAGTGGAAAACTCCATGTGTTCGGAAACTTAAATATTCTTCTGTCATATTGTTAACAAAAACAAATGTGTGCTCAAATTCAAGCAGTAATTTATTTAGTTGATCCTGTTGACAGGAATGTTGGGCACACTGGAGGCAGCAGTGCATACACCCATCCCTTCCTCCGCCCCCCTATATTCAGCCAGGCATGATTCCTCTTTCCCCACGTTAGGACTAAGGTCAGGCCTATCCATACATGTAACAGATCTTTAGCATTTTGAATCTATTTAATATGACGATACATCAGGTGCATTCTATTTTGTTTCTACTCATTCATGGAGGCAAGTAAAACCAAAAGCCTGAATAGGCTTCCTCGTTCTTTATTAAGGTTAGTGTTGCCTTTACACACACACACACACA